CAGTTGGTTGGTTTCTGCTGGAGATTTTAAACGAACGCACCTATAGTTAGGATTGCATGCGGTGGAATTTGAACCCGCGACCTCGGTGTTTTAAGACAACACCTCAATCTCTGCGTGTTGTTACACAATAAGTTTGTTCCACAAGCTACTCGAAGTCACTTCGAGTTACACATACGTGTTCAACACGTAACTTTTAGAGTTTATTTGTTATACGCTGACAGTTTGAACTTTGCTCGAGTTTTTCTACAAGTAGCTTGTGGAACAAACCTAATATGTTAGTGTTTGACCGGGATTCTCCTCCGATTTGTCAAATGCGCCTTAAGTTCTGAAAACATTAAAAACGACAAGCTACGGGCCACAGCTTACAATTTGTTATCTTCATTGTCTAAACGCTTTGTCGATGGTGGCATGATTTTTTTGAATGCGTCGGCGACATCATGAATTTGTACGAGTTTGACATAAAAGAAGAATAAGAACCTTATCTGTCGGTAGAAAAATAGAAATAGATCTAATCTGGCCACAACCACAGTCGTCGCGTAGCCCGGTCGGCGCCAAAATAATTATCTACAAAAGAGTACGTGTTAAAATAATTTGACAGCTATGGTCCATAGCTCGTCGTTATCCATGATTCAATAATACAAGGTTAGATAATTATTGACAGCTGCGGTTTGCCACTCCCTTACGAAAGGTTGCATTTACGAAGGACAGAGATAGGGCAAGAATGCAATCCCTTGTTGCGAAAATGGTAGTAGAAAAGTACGCAAAGTAGGCAATTAGTATTGAAATTCCTTTCGTAAATTCTAATGTATTTGCAGGAAATCTGGCATTTTAAACGAAATGTTGAAAGTAATGTTAATATATCTACGTGAATTAAAATAAGACTACTATGAGATTGATGTAAACATCCAATGCTTATGTTTTCATCAGTTAAATATGCTTCATATGCATATACAAATAAACATATTGCACAAAAGCTTATACTTTTATTTCACACCAAAGCTACACTGTTTCCATGTAACAGCCCTATTCTAATAAAACCTCACAACTGAGTTGTGAGCAAAACTTTGTGAGATTTCTTGTGAGGTCTATTTTGTGAGGTTATTCTAGCCCACACCTCACAAGAAAAAAGCTCAACAAAATCACCACACCAGGTGAAAAGCATTTTGCTGTCTAACAGCGGTTTCGTAAATAAAATAAATACAAAAGATGGATGCTGAACAACAGGGAAAGTAAATATTTTTGCAATTTGTTTATTTTTTTGACAATTACTGATTTTATTTCTTTTCTAGGCGAATTTAAAAAGAAATAACAAAGCAGGAGTAGCTCCAGTACTTCACACAGTTTGCAATCCACAACTTGGAGCAAAAGTTTGTATGGAAATGAAATCCTATGCCTGCTCTAACTCTTCCGAAACTGCCGCAAAAACAAGCAGTAACTCCGCCATTACTGAATATACTTTTAGTTAAAAAAAAAACTTAACACAGACACTGATAGCGAACGAAAATTAACAAAACATTATTCAATTGCTCAATAAAAATCGGCTGTTTTTCTCTTGTGAGGGTCTCATTCGTACATCATAAATTTCCTGACAATTGTGAGCCTATGAGCTTTTAAATTTACGCCAGCATAGGGATAACCTCACAATAGTCAGAAACCTCTCAATAGTGAGTATGGTGATTTTTGTGAGGACAACAGAATACGGNTACATCATAAATTTCCTGACAATTGTGAGCCTATGAGCTTTTAAATTTACGCCAGCATAGGGATAACCTCACAATAGTCAGAAACCTCTCAATAGTGAGTATGGTGATTTTTGTGAGGACAACTGAATAGGGCTGTAAATTTGCAAAGAAGCAACACGGTGCCACTGCTAAGGGAGCGGTGCGAGAGAGACAACTGTCAGTTTATCGAACCTTGTATTATTGAATTATTGTCGTTATCATTGTGTTCGGGCTATTAATTAGGGATGGGTAAATATGATATTCGAAGCTTCGATATTCGAATTTTAGCTCCAAAATGGCGGTTTTTAGAAATCGAACTTTGTGTTGCTAAAATTCGGATAAAATCGAATTTTTCTAGAAAAAATCGAATTTTATCTTTATTTCCAAAAAATCAACTCTTCAACTTTCTTCTTTCTGACTAAATTTGCTATCACTGTGTGTGGCGCTCCATTTGTCTTAGGGATGCAAGTAAAAAAATACATGTTTTTCGATGTGATGCATCGGGACAAAAAATTTTTGCCAAGAAGGAACTGTTATTCCGAACTCAAATTAAAATTTTTTTTTAAACTAGTTTTTTTTGTTGATTTCTTATTTTAAATATTTAGAGGCTTTTACGTTGGTGGCATGAAGCTTTTTCCTGAGAAGACCCCTAGTAAAATTTTCCGGAGAATAATTTTCTAGAATATATCAATTTTCTCTTTGCGGGATTTCTTGAAGTAAGGGTTAAAATTACCATTTTTGGCGGGAGCTAATTGGTTAAAATGTTCTACGGAAATATTTCCCGTAAAATTTTATTCAGCCTCATTGCGAGAGTCGTGCCGAACGCAAGTCGTTTTTCAAGAATCGAATCGTATCGAAAATTTTGCGTCATTGCCTAAAATGTCCACTCGACTAGTGTATTAAAACGGAAGAACTTGGCAGCACTGCATAGTTTTCGACAATTTTCGTCGTTTACTTATTTCAGCACGACAGTAGACAATGCTAATTTACGACTTACGCAATGAGGCTGATTATATCCCAATAAACACCAAAAAAATATTTCTCCAACCTTGGAGAAATTCATAGTTCTCAAGTTGATATCCAACATCATTCTCCAACTCATCTCTAACCCACGCGCAGATACGTAAAAAGTGATAGAGATACGAATTTTTAATTATCAAGTGAAAAACTAAAGCTATATAAAGGGAAAAACTACCAACGAAGTAAATAATCTTCAAAATATCCTCAAATATTCTTGAAAGAAAATACAACGCGAAGTGAATCAAGTGGCAAAATTACTGTCGGACTGTATACTGTGTAGTGAATTATTGTAATACGATATTGATTAACTACATAATACAAGAGGAATAATAAAATAAAAAATTAATATTTAAATTCATCTATATATGTCGTTTCAATCAAAAAGGTATACGATATTTTACTATTTCAATTGCAGTATTTCAATGATATGTTTGAGACCAATTGGAGAATTACATTAGAGTTCAAGTTGAGAACTAGCATTTTCTCAACTTGAGAAACAGCCTGTCGCGACGCAGTATGGAAAGGAAGCTAGAAATTTAAACTATTTATCTTAATCGATTGATATGAATTTATTACAAAACGTTTATTTCTCAGTTTGCGCTCCCTATACTTGCGCCGCTAAAGAAAATTGTAGAATAGTTTCCCGTTTCTAGAGATGAGCCAATTTATAGATTTATAGTAACGAAATAACGGCTCCAACAAACAACGGCGAGAGTAAAACGTCAAGGCAAAGAGTTGCAAACATATAGAGTTAACAGCTAACAAATATTTCCTAAATCTATTACAGAAAAATGATGAAATATAAAGAAAGAAACATAAAACTTTTAATTTGCAACACCCCCACCCCCGTGAATCGAATCAGATTCACCATTAACCAGATCCAGGACCGCCAACTTGGATACTGGCCGATAAGTTAGACCAGTTATCGTAGTCACCTCTGCTCGACCAATCTCGCCGTCCTTTCCCGGAAACACTCGCAATACTCGGCCACGTCGCCATTCTCTTCTTGGTAATTTAGGATCACAGATAAACACCAAATCGCCAATCCCCAAAGGCTTCGTTGGCATGCACCACTTCGTACGTCGCGTTAGTGTAGGTAGATATTCGTCAACCCATCTTTTCCAAAATCGATCTCGAAGTTGTCTAGCTATTCGCCACTGCTTGCGGATGGCACAAAGTTTCACGGGTGGTTCCGAGCAACTCGTTGTCTGAGCAGTGTTGGCACAACCAAGCAAGAAATGATTTGGCGTCAGCGGTTCTTCTTGCTGTGGCGTGATAGGTAAGTGTGTTAGCGGACGCGAGTTCACAATGTTTTCTGCTTCGATGAGCAAACTTTGGAATGTATGCTCCTTCGGTGCAAGATCTTTCAATGTATGCCGCAAGACTTTCTTGACGCATTGTACCATTCGCTCCCAGACTCCGCCTTCTGATGGGTTTTCCGGGCAATTAAAGACCCATTCTACCCCTTTAGTGGACAATTCCGCTTGCAACGCCTGGCAGTCAAACACATCTACAAAGCGCGCAACTTCGCCTGCTACTCCCACGAAGTTCTTACCATTGTCCGTACGAATTCTTTTTGGGACCCCTCTGCGATTCATAAAATTACGCATAGCTAAAATGCAAGCGTCTGTTGAAAGGTCATATGCGACTTCGAGGTGAATGGCACGTATTGACAGGCACGTGAACAGTGCCACCCACCGCTTCTCGGTTCGACGTCCGATCGTTATACTAACAGGGCCAAAATAATCCAAGCCCGTAAACGTGAAGGGTCGAACGTAGGGTGTCGTCCGGTCTTCAGGCAATAAACCCATAATTGGCGGAACAGGTTTCGTGTTTTTTAAGACGCACGTATTACAGCTTGCGATAATTCCGCGCAAAACTCTTCTTAAGTTAGGAACCCAGTACTTTCTGCGAATTTCACAAATCGTTGCTTCGATATTTTGGTGAATCATCCGGATGTGCTCATGCGCAACGATAAGTTTAGTAACGGCGTGATTTTGAGGCAGGATTATAGGGCACCGACTCTCATATGGCAACCAACTGACGGCATCAAGGCGACTGTATACTCGGAGAATTCCTCTGTCATCAATGAAAGGAGACAATGTGCACAAACGGTTATCGGAGGGCAGAGAATTTCCGCTCTCGATCTGCTTCAGTTCTCTGGCGTAGGATTCTCGCTGCACTAAGCGACAAAGTAAATAATCCGCTTCTGCAAGCTCCGCTGCTGTCAACCCGTTGGTCTGCGACGAATCGATCCTTCTACGGCAATAGTGGAGGAACCGTATCACCCAGGCAACTACTCTTCTTAATCTGGTAAACGAAGAAAATCTATTAAAGTTTAGAACATTACTACTCACGACAATGAAGGCAAATTTTGTGCGAATCTCTTCCTCGTCATCTTCAGCTTCATCAGCGACGTCAGCGTCCTTTGGCCAGAGTTGCTCGTTGTTGTACAGAAACTCAGGGCCAGTGAACCAGCGGGACGAAGGACTGAGATTTATTGCCTTGTTGGGTCGCGTTGCCTCGTCAGCCACGTTTTGGTTCGTCGGAACCCATCTCCAATCGGACGGCTTAGTGACGTCGAGAATTTCAGCTATCCTGTGTGCCACGAACGGTTTATAGCGGCGGTGTTTACTAAATAACCACTTAAGAACCGTTTTGGAATCGCTCCACATAACACATCGGTTGGCTCGAACGCTATGTTCACTTATTATAGTAGTCATCATGCGAGTTCCTAACACAGCTGCTTGTAGCTCGAGTCGGGGAATGGTGAGCGGCTTAATGGGTGCGCTCCTAGTCTTGGCATAGACAAGCGACACCTCGATGATGCGATTCATATTCTCCGATCTCCAGTAGGCTGCTGCGCTGAATGCGTTCTCGCTGGCGTCTACAAATACGTGCAGCTGTAGTTCCCTAGATGGACCCATTTGAAAATAGTGGCGCGGAACTCTGCACTCAACAACTTTCAGCAATTGCTTACGAAAGACGCACCACATAGCATTGACTTCGTTGGGAACTGGTTCATCCCAACCTATACTTCGCTTCCAGAGCTCGCGTAACACCAGCTTTGCGGAGATAGTAAAGTGACTGAGGAATCCCAACGGGTCGAATATTGACATTACTATGCTCAATAATTCTCTTTTGGTGGGAATACGCTTGCCTTCGATCACTGACGAATCGACTCTATAAAATTCCAACTGGTATGCGAAACTATCATCCGGCGGTTGCCATAACATTCCCAAGACCTTCTCAAATTCTGCACCTTCTTTAGATAAGATTGGTAACGCTCTCTTCACACCACCTAGTGCTTCGGCGACCTTTGTAGAGTTCGACGTAAACTTTCGCAGATTAAAACCAGCATCCTTGTGTATATCTCGGACTTGTTGGGCTATCTGTATGGCTTGTGTTTCAGAATCGAAACTGTCCACGTAATCGTCCACGTAGTGGTATTCGGTGATGGCTCTGATGGCTCGCGGATCATGGGAGCGATGTTCTAAGGCGTTTTTGACTTTCACGTAGTGAGCTGCACACGGCGAACATGCTGCGCCAAACGTCATCGCAGTCATTTCGTAGACCTCCGGCGCCTTCCCGCGTTCAGCATCGCGCCACAAAAATCTCTGAGCACATCTGTCTTCTGGACGGATTAGGACTTGATGGTACATTTCCTGGATGTCGGCGCAAACCGCAAATGCGCCCTCTCTGAAGTGAAATAGGACCGATACTAACGGTCGATATTGCTGAGGACCTTTAAGCAGTTGTGAGTTCAAAGATACTCCATCAGTGGTAGCCGCTGCGTCGAAGACAAGTCGTAACTTTCCGGGCTTACGTGGGTTAGCCACGGCGAAATGCGGAAGGTACCAAGTCCTTTCATTACATTTTACGACTTCGTGCGGTTCTAGCTTGCGGGCGTATTTTTTGTTAATGTACGTTTTAACGATGTTGCGATACTCTTTACCGAAGTTCTTGTTTCGCTCAATTTTGCGTTCGATACCGACTAAACGTTGGAGAGCCATGTTGTAGCTTTCGGGCAGTTTGATGTTGTCACGTCTCCACAACAACCCGGTCTGAAATCGTCCGTCAACTTTCACAGTAGTTTCTTCAAGCATTCTCTTCGCGCGTTGATCGGCTGCGCTCTTGACAGGCGGTGCTGCTTTCACTCCGAATGACTCAATGCTAAAATACTCGGCTACCATGTTATGGATCTGGTGATCAAAAGCATTGCTAATATGGAGGCACGTTGGACTGACGCGCGGAGAAATACTGCATGGACCGAACACGACACAACCTAAATCAGTGAAGGCTGCGTATGGGCCGTTGTGGTTCGACGGCATAGTTTTAGTGGGCAAGCCTAGATGACAATGATCTAAGCCGATTAACACTTTTGGCACTACGTTCTCATAAGGCGTCACTGGTATTCTGTCCCGATATCTGGTGGCGTTGCGGATGTCCCTTTCGTTGAGGCTCTGCATTGGTAAGTCAAGTTTGTCGACCCCGTGAACGTTGCGAAGAAAGTGGCGCTTCTTCATGCCTACGCCGCTTATGTACAGGTTGACTACTGCTACTTGTTCTTTCACAGCATTTCCACCAAACCACTGAATGTCAACTTCACGCGTGTGACCATGCAATCCCAATTCCTCTAGAAGGGATTTATCCATCATCGTTATTGACGATCCTTCATCTAATAGTGCGTATGAGTTCACACGCTTGCTCGGTCCATACAGTGTCACTGGAACCACACGAAACAATAAACGACGGGAAGCTTGTGCTGAACAACTGAGGACTGCAGTGCTGCCACTCGAGGAATCTGGACCAACGAGTTCCACCGGGCTGGCGTTGCCTTCGTGTAAAAGGCGGTGGTGCTGCCGTTGACATCCATGAACCATACATTGCTTACGGAGACGACAATCTCGCGTGGCATGACCTACGTTCAAGCAACTGAAGCATAGTCGACGACGTTTGGATTGCTCCCATCTTTCGGCGACGGTGGCATCTAAGAATTTCTTGCATTCGGACACCTTGTGCAAACCATGGCACATGATGCATTTTATCGAGCGTTCTCCGTTAGTGTGCAACACTGCACGACGTCTGGGTTCACGGCATTCACTATCTTGCACCATTTGGACAAAACTGGCAATCTCTGATAACCAGTCACTGAAGTTAATGATAGTAGGATACGGCTGAATCGTGGCAGAATACCTTGCCCACTCAAGGCGTTTACTAAGCGGTAATTTATTCACTAGTTCCTCCAATAATGTTGGATTGACCAAGTGCTTTTCTTCTCCAATGGACTGTAGGAATACGGTAAGATTTTTTGTCGCAGTAGCATATGGCACTATCTTTCCAATAGCTGCTTCGGAAACAAATGGCATGTCTCGTACGGCTTTCAGCTGGCTCCTTACTAGTTGTTCTGGACGTCCAAAGCGGACACGTAACTGCTCGACTATAGCTCCAACATTATTAGGATGGATCAAGAGAGACTTGACGCTCTCCCTCGCACTACCCTTTAGGCACTTGTTCAGGCGTTGGTTGTTTTCGAAGTTGGAATAGTTGTATGCTATTGTTGACTCAGTGTATGCAGTGTGAAACACTGGCCAATCTTCCGGTTGCCCAGAAAATTCTGGCAGGTCCATGAGCTTCCGCGGAGGTTGGATGACGCTCTGAGGGGTGTTACTTATCGCTTGGCTATATGCCGAGTGCGGTGTGATTGTAGGACTAATTACGCTTGATGACGGATTTGCACTCGCCATATGCATATGGCTTTGCATGTTTATTGGCGGAGCGGTATATTGTAGTCCATTTAACGAATTAGCTATCGTTCCGATGTAACTTTGCATGCCTGAAGTCCCGTTATGTCGTGTGATTACGTGACCGTTATGCGAAAAGGTGGAAGAAGCGTTATTCGCTACAGCGAAATCCCTTGCATCTAGTGGTCTGGAATACGGCAAGGCATATGATGTAATGGCGGAAGGCTCCAGTCTTTGTCGTTGCTGTTCACTCTCTGTTATCCTGGCTTGTGCATGTTTCAGCTGCAGTTCTAGGTTAGCAATTTGCCTTTGCATCAGAAAAATCATGCTCTCCTCGGCGGCGTTAATAGTTGTCGGTGCACTTGCAAGAATTGGTAATACTCTGCTGGCTGCTGTTGGCGTGGCGATATTGCAAGGGCCGCTAGCCTGAGAGCTAGTATATGTACAATGCACTACGCTTCTGATATCATCTGGTACAGCTGGAGTGCGGAATGGTATCGTTGTAGTGACTGCGGCGGCGGTGGGGCTTTGGGATGCATTGGCGATTGATGCTTCTGCTACTGCAGCCGAGACTGTGGGGTTCATCATGATAGTACTGGCTGATATTTCAGTGGTTTTGTTGCATGCCTCAGTAACTTTGGCGATGTCTCCTGTGTTTTGAGGAACTTGTGTAAGGTCCTCGGAATGAAGACGTGGACTACGGCGTACTGGCGAACGCTGCATTTTAATTGGTCGTGAACTTTTGGGGTTTACAATTTTAACGACGGCGGCTTTTAAAGGATTGCAAAGTTCTATCCTAATGTCGGCAGCTAAGTGGAATTCCTTCGATTCCTAATATTAAAGGCGCGGCTTCGCAAAATTGTTCCTTGTAACTTAATGGCGGCGGCTGAGTGGAATCCTCTCGATTCCCGATATTAAACGTGAGAAATAAAGATGTCGCGACGCAGTATGGAAAGGAAGCTAGAAATTTAAACTATTTATCTTAATCGATTGATATGAATTTATTACAAAACGTTTATTTCTCAGTTTGCGCTCCCTATGCTTGCGCCGCTAAAGAAAATTGTAGAATAGTTTCCCGTTTCTAGAGATGAGCCAATTTATAGATTTATAGTAACGAAATAACGGCTCCAACAAACAACGGCGAGAGTAAAACGTCAAAGCATAGAGTTGCAAACATATAGAGTTAACAGCTAACAAATATTTCCTAAATCTATTACAGAAAAATGATGACATATAAAGAAAGAAACATAAAACTTTTAATTTGCAACACAGCCCTTTTTTCATATAAAGAAAAATGCCCTATTTGTTGAGAACGCTATGATCCTCCACTTGAGGTACTGTTGAGAAACAACATGGGAGATTTGAGAAATACCTTAGTTCTCAACTTAACCTCAAGTTGAGGTCAAACCTAAGTGTTTGTTGGGATATGTCTTAACCTTTAATTTCGCTCAGATATTTATTTTAATTATTTTTTCAACTTTTTTGAAAACTACTTAGGCCGAGATATGAAAACTTTAGTAGGCCATGAAATGAAAATACGAGCTACGGTGCAAATCCACCGAGTATTTTATTACTGGATGGGTGAAATGTTAACAAAGTCCGGGCTGGTTTCGGCTGTCCCACAGTGTAATTTGAGTTTAACTTTTTAGACAGGTGGCCACTCTCTTCAATCACCTCAAAAATATTTTAACTATTGCATAGTATTTTAAGCACAACACTTTTTTAACTGCGTTCGACTTTTCAAACAGGTGGCACCTCTCCTAACAGTAATTAAAAAATTAAGTTTATTCAAAACCATTTCGATTGATACCCATATTGGGGTAATTTATTTAGCTTATTAAATAATTTGATTTTGATTTCCTTACATATAGCACAAAACTAAAACCATATTACACATTTGCAGGGCAAGCCCTTTCTTTGGCACCTACCTCCTTTTTGAAAATCGAACGAACTATACAGATTTTATGACTTGGTGTTAAATATATTTAACGCAAACATCTCCTAACTCGATTAAGGAGTTTCAATAAAATTTTTTTTTGGAAAATTCGAATTAAATGGAATTTGCACCACCAAACTTCGAATCGAATGATCGAATGGTTGGGCAATGTTCGAAATTCGAAAAAATCGAATTTCAACCCCCCACTACCCATCCCTACTATTGATGTTGTGGCACAAAAGAGGTCCCTACAGTTTTATGTCGACTTTGAACGGCGATTTTGTTTTAATGCGAAGCTGTTTTTCATTTTCAAGTTTTGAGCACTTCTAATTATTACACCACAGCGGCCTATAACGAGACCTATATTCATATAAGTTTTTTGCATTTTGGTATCGATATTTGGAGTATCGAGTCTTTTTATTCCGATATTAATGGGTACCCGATATTTTTAAAGCGATACTGTTACGATTATCCTCGAAACCTTGAGGGATTTCCCAAATATCTGGATTGTTGAATAAATGCTAACGATGACCAAATTGTAGTACAATTAACTTTATTGTACAACAAAAAATTGTACAATACTTGCTAATACAGTAAAAACACTTTACAATACTTGTTAAAGCAATAAACGCTTTACTGAACTTGTTAACACAATTAAACTTATAGCTTGCTTATTCACTACTTACTTCTCTGCTCACTTTACTTGTAGCTTGCTGACTTGTAACTAACTCACTTCGCTGTGGCGGCGCCCTTATATCCCTGCGCTCGTACTTATGGCAACTCTAGAACGTTCTGAAGTTTATCGCTCATTCTCTTTCTCTCCCTGTTCGCAGTGTTCATCCAACTTGACGTTTCTCTTTGTGGAACATTCTACGTCATTCCTCGAACATTCTGCCTATTTCTCGTTGTTCGCTTCGCGTTGCCGCAGTATCGTCACACTGCCAACGCTGCAAGCCTTTCCAAGTGGACCACCTTCATCTTGTTTCTTGGTGTCCCAACGGTCTGGATTCGATACACTACGTCATTCAGCCGTTTGACGACCTTATACGGACCTTCCCAGTTGCATTGTAGTTTTGGGGACTAACCTTTCTTCCGTTGTGGATTGTACAGCAACACTAATAATTTGAGTTCGCTGTCTCACAAGAGCATGTATTTCTCTTAACTCCTCTTCCAGGATGTTGGACGTCTCTTTCCCAATTCTCCTTGCATCGCCAGTTACTCCAAACTTCAGGTTACTAGGCAAACGGAGCTCACTGCCGAAGATTACCCTTGCAGGAGTTTTACCCGTGGTTTCATGCACTGCTGACCGGTATCCNATGTTGGACGTCTCTTTCCCAATTCTCCTTGCATCGCCAGTTACTCCAAACTTCAGGTTACTAGGCAAACGGAGCTCACTGCCGAAGATTACCCTTGCAGGAGTTTTACCCGTGGTTTCATGCACTGCTGCCCGGTATCCATCAGGAACAGGGGTATGCGGACATCCCAATCTTTCTGAGTTTTGTC